CTGAGACACGAGATTCCCCAAGGGACTGAGTGGAAGCCCTCACTTCCCACGCCTCGGAATCGGTGCCAGACTTCCAGGCTAGGAAAGCAGAGTGTTGCGAGGACAGGCAGCAGTGACTGGGCCAGTGGGTGACCAGTGGTACAGAGCACCCCTGCTATCTCTACCCCTCCATTTCTGGACACTCCAGTCGTGGCTCTGAGAGGAACGGTGCCACATGCTGGACAGTGACGAAGAACATTCCCATCATCTTTGGAAAACCCAGTCTGCCACAAGTTACATATGAAGTCGCTAACTTAGAGGTCCCATCTGCCTTGGGAAGAAATGCAAAGGTGTACCAAGGCCTGACGGTGAACGCAGCAATGCTGTGTTTCCCTGAAAATGAGACCTAACTAATCAGCTGGAAACTGGAGATCGAAAATGCCAGCCCCAGTCAGCCTTCCTTGCCTCATCTGCCTTACAGAGTGGCCACCCAGCAAGAGAACAGTGAGGTGTAATCTTTGTGTGACACTAGCCATCACCATGGTAACGATCGGTACTTATTTTCCCATTAGGTCTTATTTTCTGGGAAACAGTGTTAAGCAATTTCCACAAGGGATCCTGGACACCTTTACCAGGTCCCTTTATTTTCTGTCCCCCTAACAAAACCTACCAAGTGACACCTATGTGTGGAGGCCTGAGACAGTGCTGAGGATATGAGTAGAAATAAGACACACTTTGCTCTCAGTGTAACCTATGTTTTCACCTAAGGTAAAATATCAACGCATTATTATAATGTGCAGCAGAAATGTAATGACAGCAATGTAGTCACAGCAGTGCAGGAATTCTGTGTGTCCAGTGGAGAGAGGGTGGAAGCCAAAGGAAGAGTGTTTTAGGAGGTGACAGCTTAGATAAAAGTTTTTTTGGTGGTACTGGGGATTGAACCCAAGGCATTCACACTGAGCAACATCCCCAGCCCTTTATTTTTTATGTTGAGGCAGAATATTGCTAAATTTTCAAGTTCAAGTCCAACCCAGGCAACTTAGGGAGACTTTGTTTCAAACAATAGTTTTAAAAAGACCTGAGTATTTAGCTCACTGCTAAGGCCTTGGGATTAATCTCTAGGACTGAAAAAAATTGTTGTGTAACTATCCAAAGGAAAATCAGAAATTTTCAAGAGGAAGATGCCTCATGTTTTCAACGCACGTTCTCAGACTTCATTTTGTAACAGTCTTCAAAAGTCTGAGGCTCCAAGCAGAGTGGGATTTGTGGGGCCCGGAGCGCCCCCGTGTGGCCTTGCCCCATGTCCGCTCCCTCAGAGCCCCTACCCCACTCTCTCCAGTGCCCTTGCCATGAGCTTCAAGGTCTTCTGGAAACCATTCACTCACAGCCTCCATCGAGATTCAAGGGGAGGACGGTTAAGTTCTGCCTGCTTCCTCACCACAAGGCAACAGAGGGACTATATATCAGTTACTTTTTAGTTGCTGAGACATAATACCTGACAACTGCAACTTCAAAGAGAAAGCATTTCTCTTGACTCCCAGTTTCAGAGGGTTCAGTCCGTGGTCAGCTGCTCCAAAGCAGGAACATCACAGGGGAAGAGGCTGGTGTGGAAAGGCCGCTCACCTCATGGTGGCCAGGAAGCAGAGAGAGAAGGGAGTAGCTGGGAACTAGAATGCACCCTTCCAAGTCGTGCCCCAGTGACCTCCTGCAGCCAGGCCCCACCTCCTACAGCACATTCAGCCCTGAACTCTGATGAATCCACTGACGAGCACAGAGCCCCGTGATCTGTCACCTTCCACACACACGAGACTTCCAGGGGACATTTTTGTTTTCCCTTAAATGCCTTTAAGTTTTCTTTTAGTTAATTTATTCAGGACTTAGCTAGGTTGCAACACTTCTTTTAAAAATAGTTTATCTAATGCCTGTATCAGAATATAACAGTTTAAACTGGAAAGTTTAAGAGCTTAACGGCATAAATTGTATGTTTTGTTTTTTGAGACAGGATCTTGATACACAGTCTAGGCTGGCCTCGAACCTCTCATATATCCTTCAGTGTTCTCGAACTCACAATCCTCCTGCCTCAGCCTCCCAAAGTACTGTGATTACAGGCATGAGCCACCACACCCAGCTTAGGTATATATTCTTATTTGTAGAGGAACCCAATGTGATAAAGACTTCAATAGGAAAGAGTTCACTGCATGAAATTCCATACAGGAGTGAAACCATTTTTTATTGAGAGCTGCTTAATAATCCCCTTTTAATGGATTTTAATCCTGGGTGCCTAATTTAGCTTCTTCATGTAGCAGAAGGTGTTTGGTTCTGAGGTTTTAAGAGCTTCTGCAGTTTCATCAACTTTGCTTCATCAAAACACATTATTAATCTTCAGCTTCATAGAATCCTCGCTCTTTTGGTTAATATTTTCCCTGTAGCTTTCTATTAGTGGAAACTCAGTGATAAACTGAAGAACTTTACCATCATTTTACTTCAAAAGTAGGGGGAAAAAAATCACACACCTTAGTGTGAACCCATCTCAAAAATTAATTAATCAATCACGAGTGCTGGGGATGTTGTTCAGTGTGAACTCCCGAGGTTCAATCCCCAATTCTGAGAGGGAGAGGGAGGAAAGCAAACAGGGAGGAGGAAAGAGAGAGAGAAGGAGAGAAAAGCTCACAGATGATGTTCAGGCAACATCTGAAGTTGTAACGATGAAGAATTTTCTGTGACTTTTAAAAATGAGCAAGGCAGGATGGGGATTTATCTCAGTGGTGCCATGACTGCCCGGCAAGCTCAAGGTCCTGAGTTTGACCCCTGGTACCAAAAAGTTTTTTTATTTTTCAGATGCTTTGCCATATCTTTGCGTTTATTTACCTGTTAACCTATGCGCTGATCTGTTTTACCTTTTGATACTGTTCAAAGTATATTTCAGGTCATTTATCTTTGCTTTTTAAAAACAAAAATAGCTGTTTTCCCAAGTGAAGCCAATAGACAAGTTACCAGTGCCCTTCTCTTTTTCTCAGTACTGTAGTGGGAATCGAACCCAGGGCCACATCCTCAGCCCTTTTTTATTTTTATCTTTCGAGTCAGGTCTGGCTAAATTGCTGAGTTCATTCAGCTCCCCTAGAACTTGTGATCTTCCTGCCTCAGACTCCCAGACTGCTGGGATTACAGGTGTGCACTGTCACGCCTACTTCAGCTCCTGACGTGCTTTCGCTGCTTTATTTGTTCACCTTTTGCACTTGTGCTGATTTTTACAATGTGACTGCACGTGACAGGGTAGGTCCTCTCTTGTTTGCTGTTGCCTAGAATGTGTGAGTAAGGATAAAAGAGGGGGAAATGTGTAAAAATTAGAATAAATGAGTTTAAGGAAGAGGCTGGAGTTTCTTCTCCCCTAAAACCATGCCTGAACTTTGTGTAGCTATTTTGGCTGCCACGAAATATTACGAGAGTCTTACAATATTTATAGAAGGATCGACTGGGATTCTCCAGGCTTTATAAAGGACACAGAATGTTTCGAATTGCTCAACCTTTTAGCATGGGTTAACCTCTTTGGTCACCAAGAAGCAGAAGCCCAAAGGGTTACATACAACATTGCTGATGGCTTTGAACTGCTAGGGCCAAAAGCTGAGCTCATGTGAAATGAATCAGTTATAGAGCAGTCTGTGCGGGAGAATTAAGAAGAGATAAGTGACTCCTTTGTGAGTTACTCGTAGGTAATCTGTGTCTGATTCTGCCGTGGAAACGTCTATGGCTCTTAGCAATGTGAACAAGAACTGTATCTTAGTTCAGTTGTGGCATCCCTGGTATAGGGTAAGGATAGGAACAAAAGGGAAACATTGACCATTTTTTCCTTCTCCTCATCAAAAGCTTATAACAACATCATATTATGATTCTTTAAAATGGGTATATTGCAGTGCCTCCTCTATTAATAATCTGAATATTATATAAAATGTGTTTCCAGTGAAGCTTTTCCATTGCCAGCTTGTGGCCATGGTTGGGTTACAACTATAAGCCTCAGCTTTCTAATATGTATTTCTCTTTGGTTTTATTTTTATTGATTTTTTTTTTTTGGAGATAGTTTTGCTGCATAGTTCCAGCTGCTCTTGGACTTACTAGGTTGCCCAGATTGGCCTTGAACTCCAGGTGATCCTCCTGCCTCAGCCTTTTGAGTGCTGGAATTACAGGCTTGTACCACCATGCCAGGCTCCTACTATGTACCTTACAGACAGATGCGGCCAGAAATCAGCCCTTTCCTTGCAACAGTGTAGAGAGGTGCAGAGAAGGTGTAATAAAAAGCTTGCCCAGGACTTGTAGCAAAGCAGGTACACAAAAATGTAAGGATGATGACTATAATTTAAATTGGAGATGAAAGGAAATAAAGACACAATCTTCTACCCGCTTTCTCTTTTGGCCTTTCCTTTCCTTTCTGGTAGGTTTGAACTCAGGGATTCACACTGAGCCCGGCCCTTTTTAATTTTTATTTTGAGGCAGGGTTTTGCTATGCTGCTAAAGTGGCCAAGCGGGGCTTGAATTTGGGATCTTCCTGCCTCAGCGTCCTAGAGGGATGGGAATTCAGGCCAGCACCACCACATCCAGCTTCTGGTTTCGCTGACTCCCTTCCCCCCTCCTTAAAGCACTCTCCCAGCCCTGGTCCTTACAGACCCAGGGCAAGTTCCCCCTTCTTCAGGAAGTCCTTGCAGATCTCTGGCCCTCACTGTCCTCTTTGTGCCCTAATGCCTCCCTCCTCCGTTACCTATCATTCCCCCAAACTGTTGAATTAGATAATTATTTGGTGTTTATTTATTTTTTGATTCTCAAGAGTTCTGTTAGGCAATGAATACACCAGCAATTTAGGAAAGGGAATTTTGCCATTTCCGTTTTAAGGAAGGGGGAGAACCAAGTGTGGTGCCATACGCCTGTAATGCTAGCAAGGCTGGAGGTTGAGGCAGGAGGATTGCGAGCTCCAGTCGAGTCTGGACAATTTAGCAGGACACTGTCTTAAGAAAAAAAAATTAAAAGGGCTGCTGATGACGCCAAATGCGAAGAATCAGGGTGGTTCAATTCCCAGTAACACACACACACAATGCTGACTTGGATAAGAAAGGCTCACTGACTGGACACATCTCCCGTAATTAACCAGTAGGGCACCAGGATCGGGATTAGCTGTAGAGATTGGCGCCTGCTCGAGAGTTAATATTGTTTTCTCTTTTAGTGGTCTGTTTCCGGCGAATCACAAGTGGCTGCGTCTAGGAAGCCTGTCCCGCGCGGCCTGCCGTAGCGCTCTCCTCCGCCCTGTCCAGGCGAACATGGCGGCCCCCGAGTCTGGGCCGGCTTTGAGTCCTGGTATCGCCGAGGGCGAGGAGGAGACCATTCTTTACGACTTGTTAGTCAACACCGAGTGGTCTCCGGAGATAGAGGTGCAGGTAAAGCAGGCCCCTGGATGGCAAGCGGCCGGATCCGCTCGGTCACTCGGCGGGCTGAGCCCTGGCAGGAGCCACGTCGCTGAGGAGGGGGTGGGGTGGGGTGCATGGTCGGTCGCCGTGGCAA